TTTAATTCAAAAATAATGCATAACATGTTTAAAAACACCTTATTGGCAATCTTAAATTATCTAAGTAAGCCTCTAATTATATTAATTATTCTTTAAAAACTTTAGAAAAATTATAAAAAAATCCTAAAAAAATATTATTAAATTCTAATCAATTTTAAATAAATCTTAAATATTTTTTTAAAATCCTAATCAAATCTTGAATAATCCTTATTAATTTTAAAAATTATCAAAGAAATATTAAAGATTTTGTAAAGAAATTATAATGACATCCTAAAGAAATAATAAATAAATCTTTAAAAATTTATAACCAAATCTTAATTAATTTAAATAAATATTAATAAAATATTTATAAAATTCTAAAAAACTTAATAAAATATTCACCAAATCTTTAAAAATATCTAAAAAATTCTCATCAAATCTTAAATAAACTTTGTAGTAAATTTAAAACCTCAATAATTCTTAATATAATTATTGATCTTAATTCAAAAAATTAGACCTTTCAATTTATTAATTAGCAAAAAAAACATAAATTTTAAGAAAATCAAACTAAAATATTGAAAAAAAATTTTCCTAATTTACTTAGTTGTTGGATATTATTATTATTTTTAACCTTGATATCAATTTTTTAGCTTTAAAAACTTCTTTTTTTACCATTCAATTATCCTAAAAATATACTTAAATGTTAAATATATCAATTATTAAATCACAAAAAAGTATTTTAATCCAACCAACAAATAACTCAAAATTTTAAAAATCTTTAATGATCTTTGAAATATAATTTTAAAAATCTCATTTCACTTGAATTTTAATAATTTTTTTAATTAACTATCAAATTAAGTTTAATTTTACAACACATATCTAATACAATTATATTTATCTAAAAGAAACTATGTGTATTTGCAATGTGAAGTGCCTATGATGCTTGATGTAATGGCAAAGCATTAATTCTTTGTGTCAAAGATGTATAGTCTAATGATATTTTATTACTTGAAATAAGGATATTTAGAAGTAATGGAAGCATTTAAAGAATTATTTTTTTTTTCTTCTTTTTAATGCTTCTATACATTTTAAATTAGCAATTTTATTAGATGGTCTTTATTGTTGTATATTCAGTAAGAAAAAAGATGTTGCTAATGTATAACCAATGCCAATGTCGATGGCATGTGGCATATTTGACAACACTATTTTTGATTCATCTATTGATAAAGGTTGATAACTCTTTCTTCTATGTTTTTCACATATTTTTATGATTTATTTACCATGACATTGGCCTAGTTGTATATATTTCATAGAACAACATCATTGTGGCATTTATCTCCAACTATATGTGTGTTGTTGTCCTTGCTAATTGGTAAGACTTGTAATCTATTAAAAAAGATACTTAATAATGTATTTGTTATACATTCTTATTTTTTTTAATTACATATTTAATAATAGTTTCTTACACTTCATCTATTGTGTATGATAATCTTTATTTATATAACAATTTTCATGTGATGTGGCATTGAGTACCAAATCATGTCAAATTGATGTAGTCTATTTTAATATAATAGATTTTCATCCAATTAGTATTTTATTTTACTTATTCTTATTAGTGTCAACTATGATTTAAGAATTTAGATAGAAAAGCTCCCTTGAATTGACATTCTTATCAAGTCAAGTCTTGTAAGTATTTTTAAAAGTTTATATATATATATATATATATATATATATATCCATATATATATATAAGATTTTACTTGAATATAGTGATTTAGACATTGAATAAAGTTTAGAATTTTTTCTATTTACTTGCACTCTTAAATTCTTCCTTTGTGGTATAAAAAATAGATTGACTAAGTCTTTACATAAAATTGACATAGTTTTTAATCCTCAAACTACCAAATACTAGCACCTTATTATACTTTAATTCTAATTTTTTAAAATTTAAATAAAAAATAAGCTTAAATTTATAAAACTCCCTTTATATACCTATAGATACTAACTTTTAAAAAACCAATTAAAGATATAATATAAAATTCAATTAATACTTTAAAATATATATCCTAATTTAATTATTAAAAATAATTAATATTGACTTCAATTAATCTTCAAAAAATTATGTTAAATCCAATTCAAATATATCTAATATCCTTATAATTTTCTAAAAGTTTCTTCTCAATTATCACTTTTTAATCTATAATTAAATTCTACTTTTGCCAAAGGTGCTTATTTTTATGCCTAAAGATCTAAATGCAAACTTATCTCATAAATAGTCTTTGTTGGATATCAATATAATATATAATAGTTTTTTATTTAAAAAATAGTAATAATTTAATATAAAGATTTTTTATTAATTATTTATATATTCTATCTTATCTTGTTTTATTTATAATTCCATGAAGTAAATAGAAATATTATTTGATATAAGAATTAAATCTTAGTAATTGATTTCAATAAACATCATTAATTAAAAAGAACAATAACTTCTAATGCTTTTGCAAATGAATTAAAAAAAAAAAAAAAAAAAAAAAAAACAATTTGAAAAAATTAAAGATTAATTTTTCTCTATTTTGTAAAAACTTAATTTTTTTTCAATACATGTCATATTATATTGAAATATAAAACTTGTAAGAAAAATATTACTATCAAATTTTTATCAACTATGGATTTGTAAAAACAATTCTAAATAAAAATTAAATGACAATATAAAAAATCCATAAATGTTGTAAAATATTACATTAAATTAATAAGGTATATAGTAAATTTAATAATATATTTAAAATTATATTTCTTTAATCTAAAGTAGTATAAAGAATAATTATATTTTATTTTTTTGATATCATAACAAAATATAGATGAAATGTATATATATATATAAATACATTATAAATGAATATATATTGAATAAATGTAATCTTTAAAAAATATTAAAAATCTAAGCTACCACCACAAATTAAGATATAGCTAATATCACACAAATCTTCAGTAAAAACAATATAAAAAAGTGGTGTATAGCCGAAAATGAATGCAACACTTTAAATAAAATATGAACTAGATATGAGAATAATAAAAAATATATATATATATATATATATATATGATTTATTAAATTATTTAAAAGAATAAATTTATATTCAAAATATATAAAATTTTATATATTTATATTTTAAGATATTATCAAATATTATTAAAATCTGAAATAATAATTATTAAAAAAATAAAAAAATAAATTATACTAATAACCACTAGCTTTGGTAGCAAAAAATACTATACATCCTAAAAATTATAAAATATGTAAATAAATAGTATATATATATAAATAGAAAGAGAGAGAGCGAGAGAGAGAGAGAGAGATGTCACTATTAATTAAAATTGATGTTATTAAAGATTTAACTCAATATCTAAATATTCATTATAAATACAAAAATAATATTAAAATAATATATAATTTCAATTTAAAATTTGAATCGGAATTTGAATTATTTTTCTATTAATTACTTTATGAAGGATTAAAACATATTATCCACATTTAAGCTATACAAAGATTTACAGTATTAATTTTATGATTCAATGGACATGTACAAGTCTTTGAACTTATTTTATGAAAATTGTGATGCTATATATATATATATATATATATATATATATATATTTTATATTTTATCTTCTACCTTACATCAAAATATTTTTAAGTGAAATTTAGATTATTACTTTGGAATGTTAGTTAAAACTTTTTAAAATATGTTAAAAGCTCATTTAGGACCTTTTGGGAATATTACTAAAGATTTGTCTACCATAGAAAATAATAGTAATTGGATTGTGTGTTGAAATTACACCACAATCTCATTATAGACTCCAATGATTTTATAAAGTTGTTAGAATCTATTAATTTATCTATATATTTTTTTTATTTCAACATATTATACATTACCTGTTGGATAAAAATTTAATATTTAGAATACAAGCAGTAAAGAGAATATATTATCAGTAATAATCAGTTTTAGAATTTTAGTTTTGCAACTATCACAAAAAATAATGTCTCTATAAAATATTCTTGCTACGTGACTAAACTGTGAAATATTTATAAGAAGATCTATAAATCAAGATGGGCTTAATATTATGAATATTAATGCAAACACATTAAAAAGAATGGCTTTTCAATTGTTGGCCCAAAGACTACAACAAAAACTCAAGTGACCTTCCATTCGGTTAGAATATATTTGTTAAAGTAAATGTTTCAATTACTAACTCTACATCATTAATGTTTGACAAAATTCAGATTTATAAACTTCAAGCTTCACTTTAAACTTTAAACTTTAACTTTTTCCCCTTCATAAGGCGAACTCGTGGCAATTGCAAATATCCACGAGTGTCGACGTACACGTCGGCACGGTAAGCATCGCAACAGTTGGCGGGAAATCGGAGACAGAAAGATGTGTCAGCAATGTTCGGTGACGTGGCATCTCTCGTGGCAATGACCCAGTCCAAAACTCTCGATACCAAGTGTGAACGGGGAAGATTTGAAGTCCCGAAGGTGAGTAGGTAGGTCAGTTGAAGTGCCTTGGCAGTGTGAACGGGTTCTGGAAGCTTGCCATCCGTGGTGCGCCCGTAGGGCACCTCCTCCAGCTTGTGCACGTAATTCTGTTATCGCGTGGGGGCCCGTGGCCACCACATGTCGCCCACTTCATGTTCACTCTTCAGGACTTGGTGTTGTTCGTTACCGTCTCCGAATTCGTTTTTGTTGCAGGATTCTGGCCATGGTCGCTTTTCGAACCAGGGGATTCTTCTTCGCCACAGCTTTCCAAGCACGCTCTCGAAGGGCATTCGTCACGCGCTGCCATTTGTATTCCCCGGGTTGCTTCTGTTTCCTGGTTGGACAGCACAAGCTCTATCCATCTCCGTGGATTCGCCATGTCTTACTCTCGGCATGCTTGCAGACTCCCGCTCTCATTGGTTGCCAGCCTGCAACGGCAGATCCAGAAAGCGGAACCATCCGTGAACTCAGATGAGAGATCCCTCTCACACTACGGCCGGACTTGCCAAATTCAGTGGAAGCCTAAGATTTTTCAGAGCAACTTACTCTGTTTTCATTAGTTGCAGAAAGTAAAGGGAGAAAAGGAAGACTTCCAATCCGATTCGGTGGACAGTTGCATCGAAACCTGATTGATGTCGAGACGAGAACTCTAGATATTTTCTGCAACACTAATTTGTCACGTTAATCTCAGCCTTCCAGATGCAACCGCTTCAGATTCAGCTGCACTTCACCTTTATCTGTGGCTCTAATCGCCACAGGCAGTTAGTTTTTTGGCTTCCTCAACCCAGCCCTAGGAACGGCGAGCATGCAAACATAGCAACGCGCCTAATGACAATCGTCGGAAGCTGGTCCTGTTTGTAGAACTTGTATTCTTTCGTGTGATCGTGCTGGGTCTCTGTAAACATGTTTCCACAATTACTTCACTAAGAGCACAAATGCGAGCGTTCGGTGGATTAGCTGATGGTGGTTGCTCCTTGGTTGGGAATCTTGGGTTTGGTAGTTTCCCCCCTAACCTGAGCGGTTAGAAGTGTGGATTTTATTTAGAAGGTTGGAGAATCGGCATTGGAGAGTAACGAATAAGCAAAATCGGACGTAAGTCTAGGTTGATTCAGGTTGCGCTTCAGGTTGAGCCACATTTTTTGCGAACTATGGTCTATATTGTCAAACATCTAGCAGCCTGAGTCTAGATCAGTGTACACCTTCTATTTCAGCTTGAACTCTTAAGCTTCCTCAGCCTTGGAACTCAATTTTGCTTTCTAGTGCTTTTCCCTGCCCGGATGCTTCAAGAAACTAGCTGAATCTGTTTCAACAATCCCACGCCGAACCAATTCCTTTGGCATTAAATCCTGTTGTAGCGTTTGCAGGGAAAATTTGCAAGTTAAATTTGCTGACATAACCGGAAATATAGATATGGCAGCTTGTCAAGGCACTCGGTCTCTGCCGTCCGTGTCCCTGACGCCTGCGTTAGCATCGGAGCATAGCAATAGGAGCAAATCTTGGCTTTGCACGCATGTTGGATTGCCTTCCCGATTCAAATCCCAGGGTGTTCGCCATTTATTCGGTATCAAGGATGAACCACTGTGTAGGAAATCTGTGGAAACTCGCGCCAGGTTGGGTGGAGACGGTGATGTGGACCTCAACGGAGAGGCCATTGCCGAGGACTTCTATTCCGTGCTTGGCTTAGTAAGACTCGCTCACCCTTTTCCTGAAAATATTTTAGTGCTGCTTCGTTTTCATAACTCACACCGACACCAAGTGTCGAATACTTAAAGTGGCTTCTCTTACCTCAAGCTAGAACTGTATGTTTTATTGCAGACGCCCGACGCCACACAGGAGGAGATCAAGAAGGCGTATTATTCTTGCATGAAGGCGTGCCACCCAGATCTCAGCGGCAATAGTCCGGATTCCACTGATTTCTGTATGTTAGTAAATGAAATTTACGAGGTATGGGTCGCAATTTTCTATTAACTGTGGCGGCAGATTGCCGATGCATTAGCTGCACTGAAACATGATATGAATGGCGAGGATTTTTTTTATGTAATTTATTTAATTGGCGTGAGATTTTGGTGTTTAGGTGCTCAGCGATCCAGACCAGCGGATGGTTTATGACGAAATTAATGGGTACACATTGACATTTGTAAATCCTTTTTTGAACCCCAAGCAAGAACGTGACCACACGTTTGTTGACGAGTTTAGTTGCATTGGTAAGCATAATCTGTTAGTTTTGGGAGATCGATGTTCTTATTGCTTTATCATAGAGTCTTTCAAGTGTTGATGAGGAAAGAAAAGAAAAAAATGCTTAAAATCTGAAGAGAGCGTAAATATCTGTGCAGGTTGTAAGAACTGTGGTAATGTGGCGCCTGGCACTTTTGAAATTGAGGAAGAATATGGCAGAGCAAGGGTGCGCTGCCAATCAGGAAATCCTCGATTGACACAAGAAGCTATCGAAACATGGTAACAGGAGGTTTAGCAACCATCTCATATGTAGTGTTGATTATTATCATTGTTTGAACGCTGTGGGAGATACAGTAGTTTGAAGGCAAGCCTGAGGAAGGTCAGACGTTTCGCGTGCCACAACTGGAGCATATCTGACCAGAGTTCTCTATTTTGGCAGCCCTGTTGATTGCATCCACTGGGTGACAGCTGCTCAGTTGACGCTTCTTGAGGATGAGATGAGGAGGATTGAGCGTGTCAATGTGAGCACACTACTCTCGTCTTTACTATTTTTGTTCGGAATGCACCTCATCGGATACACCGCGGCTGTGTAAGAGGGATCGTGATTTCAGCGACATGAGAAATGATCATTTTGGTTCGTTTGTGGTGTACGTGTTCAGGTAGGTATGATGCTGGCAGGCATGGGCTCCCAGTCACCGGACGTCTTTGCTCAGGTGCTAGTTTACATCAATTTCACTATGTCAATTAAGTTGTTGAGTTTTCAAAGTCGTCGGTGTATACTGTCTTGTTGAAGGGTTGTTAACTCGTGAAGAGATTAAACGAGTACCTACACTACACATCCAAACTCACTCCTAGGCTTGTGTCGAATTAGAGTTTGGCAATACTGTTGAGAGACTTAGGGGATGACGCAAGGGAGGTTCCATAGCTCTTTTCGAATCAGACTTTCGTAAGTCTCGCCTCTCTTTATATTTTACTTGCTCCATAGCGCTCCCGCATAACGTGAATAACTGCCTTGGTGAACTTTTTGCTTGGGCAACGAATTGGACCTTACAGGCAAGTTGGAGATGGGAGAAGCGGCAAGCGAAGGCATTGGTATGCACCACATACACCGGCACCACTTGATTAAAACTGGGAATTAAGACCACTTGGTGCATGGAGAAAGATTGCGCTTATTTGCATTGGGCAGATATGAGGATCTTTCTAGCATGACATTTTAATTTGTATATCTGGATTGGCAGGAACGCGCTCGGATTCGAATGATGAAGGAGAATGGTAAAGACGCCCCTGGAGCATGGTGGCAAGGGTGGACTAATCCTGGAGGCGATGGTGATTTTAAACCAGGTATATTCGACATCTAGCATGGTTGAGATGCAATCCACTTTTAATCTTCCTGTCACTGTTGTCAATTCCATTGCCACCCTTTTATCGTGTAACGCTGCATCATTGCTGCGGTGTGTTTATTGTGCAGATGACATGGGAGCTCGAGAGCGGGCAGCGAAAACTGCAGCAGCATCCCGGCGCTGGCGAGAGTACTCCAGGCAGAACGCGGGCCGCAGGTCTGTCTACTCGTTGCCCCCGAAATCAGGAGCTCGGGATGAGAGCGAATCTGAGGTAGCAGTGAAGTAGTTTGCAATTGGGTGTGTGCAATTCAGGCATCTCCATCCTGCCCCGACTCTCCATAACGACACCAGTTTCTCGGTCTTTCAAACCCCGCTCGGCACCCTTAGATTTAGGGTTTCATCTACCATGGCTAGTACCAGAATTAGGCTTGGATTAGGATTTCATGTTCTTCCACCTCCCGTGTCTGTGTACTTGAGCTTCCTCAGACTGAGTGTTGGTTGGAGTGGCGGAGAAGACCCAAATATCTGAAGGCTATTTCCAATGGGTGTCTTTCATGAGGTGGGCTCAACGTGAATTCCCCTTCCCCATAGTAAGAGATTCATTGCTAGTCTCAATGGGTATCTCCATCCCAAAGAAATTATTGTAACTTGTAAATGCAATTGTCTGTACATGCTAAAATCTTCATTAGATATTAATTTCTGAGAGTAGATTCCAACCACATGATGCCTAGTGCTTTCTTTGGAATAAACATGATTTTTTTTTTTCTGGAGTCATCTTTGTATTTTTTATTTTTGAAATGTATGTTACTATCTTTGTTGGTATTACAATGGTGATGCTGGTGTTTTTTTTTTTTTTTTTTTTTTCTTAATTTGCACAACTGAAAATGTATTTTAATAACGTAAAAGAAACACATTTAATAAAAGATAACATATAAAAATAGATAGGTAAACACTGTAATTTTTTAAGTTGAAAAAAATGATGTGAAATTATATAAAATGATTGTGCACTTTACTAAATATTGCTAACACACCACAATGGATGAAGTGTACATTTTTTTTTTTTTTTTTTTTAATGTGTATTGTGGTATTTTATAAAATATGTTGTGATATGCAATGCAATTTTAGGGCAACTTGTGGTGGCATTAGCAAGAACTATGATGACATGTGGTTGATAGCACCTTATGGTGGTAGTGGCAAAAATTATGGTGGCATTAGCAACATCCTATGTATATTTTTATATTTATCCAAAATAACATAAAACAAACAATTAAAATTGAGGGATTGAAAGTTTTGTTTAAGAAAGTTTGAGTAAGAAATAGAAGAAGGATAAAAACAAAATGTTAGGAGTGTAAGTAAGAAAAAATGAGTGATAAGTGGGGCAAAAAGGGGATGCTAATGAAGAAGGAAGAATGGTGTGGACAAAATGATTGAGAGGGTTGAAGGTGTGTATGGTGAGGAAAACTGAGAAAAGGGTCCAAAGTGTGTATTTCTAGTCATTTGTGCAAAGTAACTATATAATTTTTAAATTTATTTTCTATCTCAAAGAACATACATCTAAGTTCATCAATCACATAAGATCAATTGATTTCAAAGACCAAGTAGATGATTGTAGTGTGTATTTCTAGTATTAAGATCTTAATAAATTAAAGAAATTACACATGAATGTTTATGCAATATAAAGAGGTGTCTAACTAAAAATTCTTTTAATATGAATGTCTATGCAATATAAAGAGGTGTCCACCTAAAAATTCTTTTAATATAAATTGCAATTTTTTCATGTTTTAGTATTTTTTTTTTCATATAATCAATTAAAATTTTATTTTAAAATAATAGTGCTAATATTCTATTTTATTAAAAAAATATTATATAGCAATGAGATACATTAGATTAATTCATGTAAACTTTTTATATAATATTAAATTATCAAATTATAACTTTGATTGATAAGGTAAAAAATAATTAACATTAAGTTTTAAAATAGATATAAAATTTTGATCAAACTATTTTTAAACTTTTGCATTGCTTTATATTTAAAAAATTATATTGTGGTGCATTTTTATTTTAAAATCTAGTTCAAAATTATGAATAGCAATAAATATTTAAAACATATCTTAAAACATGATTAATTGATTAATAAAATTTTAAATTAGTAAAAGAAAAGAATACAAAGATATACTTATAAAATACAAATAATTAATAAATTTATTAATAATTTTTTATTAAATATTAGAACCTATTATTTCAAAATATAAATAAAGTTATTTAAAGTAAAAATATAAAAATATAAAAAATTATAAATATATATATATATATATATATATATATATATATATATAATAAAATTTATTAAAAAATAATTTGACTTAAGATTATTTTATATACAAAAAATTTGATATATTTATAAAAACAATATTAAAAATAATATTTACCAAAAAATATGTATAATAAATGTGTATATATATATATATATATATATATATAAGAGAATGTTAAATAGACCTATGCTTTTACTAAATCAACCCACCTATGTTGAAGGATATGATAACCATAATGAATGTGGTTGGTTTTCATTGATTGGAGATCCAATAGTAAAGATATAATTATGAGCTCATTTTATTTCATGATTCTTAAGATAGGTGGATAAATTTAGTAAAATAATAGATTCATTTGATATTCTTTTATATTTATTTGCACATATTTTAAAATATGTGGTATAGATTATAAAATATAATATAAAAAAATTTACAAAAAAAATTTGTAAGATTGTACATTCTTTGTATACAAGGTTTAATACATTACAAAATAAAACTATGAGATTTTTGTAGTTATATCTTTATCCTTGTTTTATTTTCAATTTTTTTTTTAAAATTATTTATTTATTTATTTATTAAATAATTTTGTTTATTTATTTTTTATTATTTATTTTTAGTATATATATATATATATATATATATATATATATATATTCAATTCTTAATTATACTATTTATAAAAGGTTTATTATTATATTTTATTTTATCATATATCATTAAAAAAATTCAACATGTTATTTAAATAATAAAGGTCTTTGTTATTAAAAAAAATATATAAATATAAATATAAAAAATAAAATAATATAATTTTTTTTATTTTTATAAAATTATTACTATTATTAATTTTATAGATATATAATTTTAAAAAATATTATCTGCACAAAAATCACATGTAAATAATTTTAATTATTACATCAAAGAATATATAAATTTGCATGTTTTGTATTAATTATTAAAATATTTTATGATGAATATCATGAAATTTCTAAAAAAATATATTATTTTCTTATGCACAAAGAATTAGTACATATTATGATTATAATTGTTAAAAATATGGTTTGACATTTATATTATTTTTGTTGTAAGATATGTAATTGTAAAAAGTTACTACTATCATAATACAAGGTTTATTCTACTTTTTCAAACAAATACTCAATTTGGAAATAATATAGATATGAAGAAAAAAAAAAGCGTTATGAAGCTCAAGAGGGCCTAGCTCATTGTGGTTGCAGATTTCTAAAATAGATAGTAAATCTATAGCACTTAAATATGCTTTAGTTCTAATCTATTAATAGTCATGTGTATTTGATATATAATATATTACAAAATCTTTTTTAATAGTTGTAATCCAACAATAAATAGGGTAGGAAAGAAAATTAATTTAGTAAATTAGGATTAAAGTTAAGATATAGTTAGTTTTCTTTGTGTTCTTATTAATGGAAGATACTTTGTCTATGTGGATTCAATACATGCTAAGTTAGTAGAAGCCTTAGTTGAACCATCTACTTCAAAAGCTAATAAAGACTACTATAGAATAATAAAAAATAATAATGCAATCAAATTGGAGTTAGTAGTTATAGTGTTGTAATATAAATGCTTATAGTATGTAAAAATAGTTAGAACATATAATATGTTCATAAGTCTTGGTATATGTTAGAATAGTTAATAGATTAATTTAAAGAGAGTGGATTTAAGAAACTTTATTTTGAGTTTTATCTTTTTTGATTATAGCATTTAAAAAAATTATAGGACCTAAATGTTTAATATGAAGCCTTGAGAAGAGATTAGAGCCTAAAAAAGAAATTTTTAACTAGTAGGAGGCTTATTGGGAGGGATGAAAGCAAGGCATGGTTGAATGAAGGCAAAGAATGGGAATCTTCATTCTTATTGGTCGAAGGCCATGTCCAATGCGCTTCAAGGAGGCTACCTGAGGCCTTATTAGGGATTAGGGTTTCTCTTTCGAAGTCATTTGAGCTTTGAAGGCTAGGTTTAGCAAGTTTAGGGTTTTGGGTACCAATTGGATGCAAATTTTGTGTGATTTGGAGTTTTTAAGAAGGAATTATTGGCGCTCAAAGTTAAGGTGTCAATTTCATACCTATTGTCACTCTTTGGGAAATTACATACGTTTACGGAGAGCATCAAAAGATCGGTGACTATGGTTGGAGAGAGCACTTATTTAACTATATTTTTCATATATTGTTTAATAAATTTGGAGTTTGGATGAAGAAGTTATAGAGGGTTGAAGTCAATGCATCTATATCAAAGGTAGTAAGTAAGTAAGTGATTTTGTTCATAGTAATGGTTGGAGCCATATCTTGAATTTCTGGAAGAATTTTTGACTCAAACCTTTTGGAGAAGGTAGATAATTGTGTTAAAAAACTATACATACAAACTTTGTGGCATTTAAATGCTTAGTTTGTGAGATATAAAGAAAATTGCACGTAATTTCTACACAAGGATATACAAGGTTTTAGAGGATTTTATCATATTTTGGATGTTGTTGGTTACTTGAGGCTTATGTATTTGGTGTAATTGCTCCAAAAAGGAAAATTTTATATATAAACTTAGGGATTCCCTTATTTTGAAGCTTGATTGAGCAATTAGTGAGAGTCGGGAGCCTAGTACTTTCTTGAGGCAAATTCTCTCTACCTTGACAGCGGTCACTAATATAGATAAGTTTGCTGAAATCCTTTCAATGATTTCATCAATAGGTGAAACTCTTCTCCTAGAATATATCCATAGCTGCACGGATTTTTTTCTCTATAATACGGTAATGGTGATACAAGTGAATTAAGATGTAGTGAAATAAGAATCAAAGTACCTGTTGAAACACATAATGGTGGTATACTTTGTTAGAGGTAAGAAAACTTTTTAAACTCTACCTAAATGGATTGTTGCATTGAAAGAATAAGTGGGTGCATTAATTATATTAGGATATGATCTAAGTAAAGGATTTTTCTAAATCCTTAATTAACATATCAACATGATTCAGAAGTTGCTTATACTCACCTTCTATTAATTACGGTCAAGAACTTGCATAATATAGACTTGGACCTTTAGCTTCAATTCAAGTTGCCTAAAAGTGCTTAGAATTCTTACTTGAATAATGTTAAAAGAGATCTTAGGTGAATTTATGAAGGTGACTTCACAGATTGTGAGGAAACTTAGGATGATACTTGGAAGCAATTTACATAATGTAGTTGTAATAGATGAATGTTTTTATATAGCCATCAAAGTAAGCATTGCATGACATACATTGCTTTTAATTACTAATATATTTATCAAAAAAGTATCAAAAATTACAATAGATTAGTATAACTTACCTATAAGATGGAGATTTTGTTTGAATACAAAGCATCTAATAAAGGAGTGCAAAGACAAAAAGGCATAGAAAGATAATACACTATTATATTACATGAAGCCTTGCTTGAGAATGCATCGAGCACCTAGCTGTAGAA